TGTGCTGCTTGAAGTATCATCACTGAATAGCTTAGTACATTATTTTCAGAGTATACATAACAATGATATATTTGAGTTGAAAGGGGTTAAAATTAACAAGAGTTCAAAATAGTACCCTTTTTCAGAGTCATGCCTGGGAAACCAGAAAGTTCAATGTGAGTTGTGCTGTGGCTGTCTATTCACTCTGCTACTCCGTAATAAAATCATGTAGTTATTGGAATTCAAACACCTTATCTATTGCTATTCAGTATGGCAAAAGATTATATGAAAAATCAATTCTTGAAAATCTTGTGAGAAATGATGGTGAATGCACAGGGTTTTTGATGTGGTTTTCAGTTTTTTGTATGACATGTATTTTAAACTCACAAAAAGGTCAAAATATGTGTATTCCCTTTTGGTATTTAATGAAGGTCAAATGCCTCCTATTGAATATACCAAAACTGTAAATAGCACTACTTCGCTTTTTGGGGCCACTGAACCACTGAACATTAATATTGCTTCAATGTACTGATTTCTGCCTACTCCCTCTGGGTGATCACTTGGCAACAAACTATGACTCGGTACCAATAATAGATGAAAACTTCCCCTCTTCCTCCAGTTAAAGGCAAATACATAACCTACTCAAGGTTTGTAAAAGCCTTGAAAGTCCTTGAAAGTGCTTCAATTTAAACTTAAAAAGTTCAAGGCCTTGAAAGTACTTGAATTTGAGGACTAATGCTTGATTTTTGCAATGCTTTTTCTAAGCAATTTTCGAGTTGAAAATTACAGTACTTTCATGGAAAAGCTGAGAAATAATATTAAATAATTTTAAAATTGCTTATGCAAACCTTTCCAAAAGTGGCCCTTTAATTTTCTAAAACTTGGCCTTCAAAGTCATTGAAAAGTCCTTGAATTTCAACCCTTGGAATCTGTAGTAACCAACTCCTATGCAGTAATATATTATTTTTATTGTTATCTAGTACCATAACAACATTCATTACACTCCAGCAGACAGAAATAAACACAAGTAGACTTATTTATGACCAGCAAAGACGGAATTGCGTGACGACAGTAACAATGGCAATATGGCAGTCCCCTTAAGATAACTTAAGATGTGCGATATTGAAAGCCCGAGTTCACGCAGCTATGCGTCCAGTTTTTTTTGCGTTCAGTCACAAAACGCAGTTCCGCTACAGCGCATGCGTGAAAGGAAAGCGCACGCGTAGAATGAACCCTAAAGCGCATGGTTCAAAGTAATAGCTGCCTTCGTGGTGGATAATTCCTTGCTAGATGTACGCGAAAGAAATTCGATGGCTATTACGCTCAATATACATAGAAAGTCACCCAACGTTATCAGTAGACCCACACTAAAACTTGTGGAGCGTTTTGGGAACGGGTCGGTCCGCGAACTTCACGAGAGATCAATTTAGGAGCGACCTTTACGATCGAGTGAGCCTTCTATCGAGGAATATCAAGCGAAACCTGCTTGATATTCCGTCTTCGACCAAGCATACCGAATTCCTCCTGGTTACGTCGTTATGTGAAGGTCAGAAGAGTTACAAAGCATCATACGTATCTAATACCGCAGTTCAAAATATATGAACTTCATATATTTGATTGTACCAAACTTCAGTTTGATAAACACGTATCTTCGATATGCAAAAAGATCAATAATCAGTTAAATATCATGATAAGATTTAGAAAACTGATCTCTAAAGCCACTTTTGTCAAATCGTATAAGGCCTTCATCTTACCGCACTTTCAGTATTGTTCATCGGTGTGGCATTTCTGTAGTGTACGAAACACCGAGAAACTAGATGCTCTTAATAAAAGTAGTGTTAGGTTCATTCTAAATGATGTTGAATCTACGTATA